CGGCTGCTGCCGGCCGCGGGAGCGCCCCGGGGCTTCGGTCCTGCCGCCCTCGCTGCGATGTGAGGCTCGGGGACAGCGTCGGCTGCCGAAGGCTTTAGTTATTACATGCGCCCAATAATCTTCTCCAAAATGGATTTTAGTCATAGCAGTCTTTTTGGATACATAGAAGACCTGCAGGAACTAACTATTATAGAGAGGCCAGTACGCAGGAGCCTGAAGGTATATACCTCGAAAAAGAACGCTGCTTTAAAATCCATTTTAAATTGTATCTGTTTTAATTATGCACAAATAAGTGAATAGATAGGTTTTTCTGGTTGGTTTTTTTTTTGGTGGTTTTTTTTTAGTTTTTTTGGTTTTTTGTTGTTTTTTTTTTACAGCATCAGGATACAAAACGCTTGTCATTCTATAATAAACAATCTCGAATTCTGTAGAGCAGGGATTTCTTGTTTTCAGCATGAGAATTTTAAGATGGGAACAAATAAACTAACTTGGGTGTTCAGATTAATTTATGTGCTACTTGTTTAATAGTGATAGTGTCTGACTTGAAACTGTACTTCTCTGACATTCCATCTTTTCCTAGTGAAAGATTTATTTGATTGAATTTGAAATGTTGGCTAGAGGTTTCATGAATAAATTCAAATTACTCGTGAAGCCAGCCCTGTATGTGTAGGGAGAAAGGGACTGTTTTATGATTTAAACAGTGAAATAGTAAGGCATTGTAAACTCATAATCTCTATTTCACACTTGACAGACACCAGAAGAAATAGAAAGATTGACAGTTGATGAAGAACTCAGTGATATTGAAAGGGCTCTTTTTCTACTCAGGTATTTCCTAAAATGTTGCTGTGAAACATTGCTGACCATTGTGTTTACATACAGCTTTTTTAGTGTTTTACTCTTCACTCCTTTAATTTTCTCTCTATTAGTTCTTTTACCTTCAACTGTTAAGCATATAGGCAAGATAGGTACTGTAATTTTTTTAAAAATCACCCTATAATGGGATGTCTGTGTACATGTATAAGAATTTCTGAGCTTTTAATATGCTCCTCACCAGCACAGAGTTGTACTTAATCATCTGTTCCCCTACAGCTGATTTTGCAAGATTCCCTGAATGTTAATGTTATTAACACAAATAATTCAGGGAGTTCATACTCACTCTAAGCAAATATTCACTCATGGGCAGTTAACACAGGCTGGTAACAGAGCTGTTCTAGCATCCTGTGTGTGCTTGGACTTACAGAAGAGAAAACTTGAGAGATTAGTTCTATAGTCCTTAGAAATTACTGTAGAAGATACTTTGTTAATACTTCCCTCTGTTCTGGTTTTCTTCATTTTACTTCCTTCTTCTTGTTGAAAGAAGATTTATTTGCAGCTACTTGAATAACTTGAATTTGGTAATTTAAAATATGGATCTTTCAACTACTGTGTAAGTCATCTTTGAGAGTACAAATGTTCTGGGGGATTTTGAGTTGAATATGCAATTTTAAACAATACCTAGTAATTGGAGAACCAGCTGCAGCTCCCTCTCAGTTTGCTTATTCTGCTATTTTAAGTGCTTTTCTAGTCTATGCCTGTGCTCAGTACTTAGAATAGATTTTCTTGGTGATATAATTTTCTCTTTTTGGGGTTCATGGCATTATTTTTAAGTTACCATTTTTGTTTTTGATACTGACTTCTGTTTATGGTTTGGGTATTTTTTTCTCTGCTGAAATGTATTAAATAGAGGATTTTAAAACTTGCTTTGCTCTTAGTTGTTGTAATCAAAGCAGTCTGTTGACTGTAGAGAAATTCAGAGGAAACAGTTTGCATGTGGTACTTATCACTGAAAGAATGTGTATCCATTCTGGGTTTTACTCACAACAACCAGCATAGGTGACTTTTTTTTTTTTTTTTCTTTTCCAGTGTGGTAGCAAATTTCTTTGCTCTATTTCCAGTTAGAGATCACGTTTCCAGCATATATGTCCTTACCAGATGATTGCCTTTTTAAGTGGCAAAAGGTTCCACTTCATATCTTTCATCTTAATTGCTTTTCAACTTGGCCTTGACCTTCTCCTGACATCTTTATCTGATTTTCTCAAGCAGCTGTTCTTGAGACATAACATTCTTTTTCTGTTAATGGCACTTTCATTTTTTTCCTCTGCACTGTTCTCATTGCTGAAAGATATATTCAACTCTGCTTGATAGGCTTTTTGTAATGTAGTCTCACTATGCAGGTATGTTAATACAATAATCCAGTGGAAGCTTTTGCTGTTGAATAGCATATTGCTGTCCTTGTACTGCGTAGAGTAAAAGCAGAGTTGAAAAGCTGCCTGTAACCCAGTAGCACTTTTTATATAATGTACAAGAATATGCACTTTTGGCTTGTCAGGAATATTTTATCTATTTCAATACAATATCCCTGCCTGTTGCTGTTTGATGGTAATGACAGTCCAGTCTTTCTGTGCCTCATTTTCTCACAGATGCATTGTTCACTGTCCTTCAGGTTGTTCCTTATTTGGGACTCTTCTTGATCTTATCCAAAAAGCCACTGCCTTTTCTGAAAATCTGTCTATAGAGAGAGCTTTGCTAAGATTGAAACAAATTGTTAATGACACCTTTGTTGTATCCCATTTGGAAAGGACAGTGTTACCTCCACATACATTGAAATATACAAAAACAATAATGGAATGCAAATCTCTCCCCTTAAATATCTACAGAAAACATCAACATACTACTTTTGTCACAATGTCTTTTGTACTGTAATTTGCTTGTTGCACTCTAATCTGCAAGTTGAAGCTTTTAAATATACTGAGGTATTTTGGTGTTGCTTGTACAGTGTAATGGAGTTGATTAATACTGACTGAAACCTTCGTGTGCTACAGCAAAGCTAATGTTTACTAATGATTTTTTGGGAAAGTTCAGAAAAGAGTCTTCACATTTTAAAGACTTTCATTCTGAACAAAAAAGGTCACCCACTTTTTTCTCTTATCACATCCTTTCCTTCTAAAACCTCCCCCAGCTTCTCCTCCCCACCCTTGAGCTTGGATTTGCTTATATGCAGAGTTGTTGTATGTTTACTTGATACTTGTTTTTAGATTTTTGCTCCTGAAGTCTTTTACTATAGTAGTCTGAAAATGGATACATTGAGATCCAAGTTGGAGAGGATAGATTTTCTTTTTTTTTCCCTTGTGACTGGTTCTTGCTTACTGTATATATGAGAAGGTATTAATTTCCCAATTCTCAGAATTTCATCAGTTATTCTCTTTTTACTTCTGTTCTTTGCTTCTGATTTGTCACTAGTACTGCAGAGTTTGTGGCATGGTCTTCTACTTCTTGATATTGTACAGTGAATTGTTTTGCTCATCTGGTATGTATTTGTAACCATCTAATGATTATTTTGTATTTCCACAGTGTCTTGTCTGTGTCTAGCCATGATGTATGGTCACAGATTTTGTAAATTTCTGTTCATTGTGTTCTCTTAAGTGTGGTGTAATTATATACCTGCAAATTTTTTAGCACGTGGTAAGTACATTGATACATTGAACTTGTGTGAGATCTCAGTTCCATTGGGATAATTTCATTGTAATTGTTTTTTTGTTGCTACCTATCATAATTTGGTTTCACATTCTTAAGTGATAATTGTAATTTTGAAAATCCTGAAAAGTTAATCTCTCTCTCATTATTTCTAGTGAATGTCTTTGCTTTCAGTCCCCCCTTTTCTGCTAGTACTATTTTTCAGATAACTATGTAATGAGGTAGTGATAAGAAGATCTAGCTAAAGCTGCTAATTTCTAATCACACTGATTTTCAGATAAATCAACTCTTTGATTTGCTACATCATGTGGATATCTAAACAGTTCTGCAAGCAAAAGGAGAGGATATAGCAGTTCTTCTGGTGGCTAGGGTTACTTTAATATGACTTGAGCATAAGTGAGCTTCTGCTTTAAATCACTGATGCCCAGAATACTTGGTTTTAATTAGGTAACACTCTGCAATTAGAATGAGCAAGTTCTTAATAAGAATGTGGTAACAAAGTGGATTGTAATTTATTTTAATCTCATTTAACCTTGATTCTGATAGAGGAGCTGGGCTTCCTTAGACCAGACTGTCAGAGATGTTTATGAACTTCTCATTGAAACCAAATGGGTTTAGGGACTTAGGGAGGGAGAGGCATTTGAGTGTCTCAGATCCATGTTTTAGAGCTTCAGCTTGTGTGTTTGGTGGTTTCTGGAGCCTCTAACAGGAGTCACAGAATAGTTGTATTCTGTCTGTGCTTTGCATAATGCTGGCCTAACAGAAGAACAAGGACAGCAAAATAGCTGTGTGTCTCAACCAAGTCATTGTCAAGATTGATGGCTTATCATAAAACTATCAGCAGATCAGAGGAGCTGCCAGAACACATTGAAGCAACTAAATAATTTGCATTCCATCTCAGCACAACCTGACCTCTACTAGGACAGTGGCAATAAGCAACCTCAGGGACACTAATTTTTATTTTTATTTTTGCTGTGAACTTTTGCCTGTAATCTTAGTTTCTGTGTTTTCTGATGCTTGATTCATGTTATTACTTACATTAATTTGTCTTACTGTAGCTCATTCTTATGGTATACAGCCCAAAGGAGGTATTTGCCTGATGAGAATATGGTTCTGGATGCTTACTGACATGTGCACTGCAGGGTAGTTTGTTTCCTGAGGACTTTTCTGATAGATTTCCCTAGGGCTTTTACATTGTGTGTACTGTATGATTTTGTATTCAGCTACCTTTCTTTTTTTTTTTTTTTTTTTTTTTTTTTTTATTTGTGCCTGCTTAGTTTTAAAGCTTCCAGACCTTGACATTTGTGTCTTACTCAAAATAACAGGGTAATAATGAGTTATCAAGGTGGAAGATTGAATTATTCACCCTCTTGGGAACAAAACCTTTGTTTTTGGAAAGATCCTATCTATCAGTGTAGAAAACTACACAATCCCTTTCCAAAACATTTAACACAGTTTTTGAAGACACAATAGATGCTCTGTCTAGATTGGAAAGAGTTCAGTGGCTCTAAACTTAAAATAACTTGAAAAGACCACAGCAACAAGAAAAGTGGTATTTCATTGTACAACTGTCCTTGATGAGCTAGTGCATTCTCAAATTCTAAGCATCTTTTAATACATTATATGTTGTTGACTGTGAATGTCAAAACCTCTACTATTTAAAAGTTTGTGGGTTTTTTATTTTTTTGTCTAGTTTTTAGTGATGGTGTTAGTTTCGGAAAATTTAATTTTTCTGTAGGTGCAGGCAAATCACTTAATTTGATTTTAAATGAAAGCTTTCATTTACATGTAACTTCAGGAGTTGATTTTCTGCATTGTATCAATTTTTTTGTGTGTTACATAATCATGGAAACTGGCCACTCTATTCCAATTAAACAGTTTATGGTCCTAATGCATACATGGTATACTGAACAGTCCAGCTGTAATGCTCAGCATATTGGAAAATACTTCTTCCATCTGTCCTGCCAAGCTGTTAATATCAACGTAAAAGGTATTTCTTCATTTTCCCCATCTTTTAATTTTCAAATTGCAACCTAAGTTTTATAAAAGTTTCATTCTGCTTCACTTAGTTGGACAGATTAACTATTTGTTTGACCTTGAATGTGTTATGCAAATAAACTAATGAGTATAAAATTAAAGTAAAAGGTGTACCTGTAGACTCCAAAAGTGTTGCTAAGTCACATACTTTTATTTAAATTTAGATTTGTGCAAATACTTCTGTTAATCATATTTGTTGAGTTGAAACTGCAGCTGAGGAACCAGCTGTGAATATACAGAGCAGAGTTAATATAGTGCATTGAGAAACATTTAAA